AACAATCTTTAAAGAAGCAAATCATGATGGGACACGGGTGGGCTCGCTCATTGCTATAATCCCGCACTTTGGGGATGCTGGAGGCAGGTGGATCCACCTGAGGTCAGGGCTTGAGACCAGCCTTGGCCAGCATGGCGAAGCCGTCTCTTCTACTAAAAATACAAAAATTAGCCAAGTGTGGTGGCAAGCACCTGTAATACCAGCTACTCTGGAGGCTGAGGCAGGAGAATCACTTGGCGGAGGTTGCAGTGAGCCAAGATCGGCCACTGCACTCCAGCCTGGGTGACAGAGTAAGACTCTGTCTCAAAAAAAAAAAAAAAAAGAAGAAGAAGAAACTCATATTTCTGATTCTATTCTTATCTAAGCTCAGAGACATCTACGTGCCTGTTTGTCACTGGTCCTTGATAAAAGTATTATTCAAATATGATCAAACTTTCTGTATATTTTTCTAATTTTCTTTAATAGATTTGTATTATTTTGTAATCAGAAAACTGCTCTAAAAAAGAAGAATCCTCAAAAATAGGCAAAATTCCTCTGATATACACATTGAGAACATAATTATTGAGATAATTGGGACCCCATTACATTTTATTATCATCCAATCTACATTTTACAATCTTATCTGTAAAGCTATCTTGAGAAAATTTGTAAAAACCCAATGAAATTTTCAAGTCAGACTCAGGGTCAAACATTATTAGGAATATTGGCATCCATCTTCCTCCAGAAATTATGGCTTTCTTCAAGTCACAGAGCACTGGCAGAGAAAAATTAAAATTTAAAGATTCTTAGATCACGTTTTTTTACCTCATGATCTCTATCAGTGGTATCAGCATACATTATATGTCAGCTCAAGCTCATCCCAAAGAAATGATTTCCACAAACTCTTCTCCAGTTTTCTGCATTCTGAATGCTCTCCTAGATCGGCAGCCCTCGCACCCCAATCCCCATAGTGTTGCAATATCCTATAGCACACAGTAAAGCTAGTTTTCAATATTTGTCTTCCAGAGTCACAACCAGTGATCTCAACTTATTATGGGCCATATTATGCTATAATGTGTACCAGAAACATCACTTTGAAGGTCCTCATTCATACCAGAGAGACCAGGTTTTGGTGCTCACGATTTTACATGCTTTGTCAAAATGTGACATCAAAATATCTAAGATTATACAAACACCAAGATTTTATCAATCCTATACAAGAAATCTGGAGAAGTAAAAGAATTCCAACCCTATACGGTAGGTGGTTTCTGAGGGCAGTCATATTATCAGGCTCACATTACAGAAGATCCCTCTGGTGGCTTTCTGGGGAAGATTCTGGGAGGAAGGGGAGGCGAGGCTCCATGCCCACAGACCGCTTAGGAGGTAAGGAATAGGAGATCCTAGGCCAAGGAAATGACACTAAAAAGAAAGAGAAAGGGACAAATACAAGCAATATTAAAAAGAACAGACAAGGCCGGGCGCAGTGGCTCATGCCTCTAATCCCAGCACTTTGGGAGGCCAAGGCGGGCAGATCACGAGGTCAAGAGATCAAGACCATCCTGGCTAACACGGTGAAACCCTGTCTCTCCTAAAAATACAAAAAAATTAGCCAGGCGTGGTGGCAGACGCCTGTAGTTCCAGCTACTTGGGAGGCTGAGACAGGAGAATGGCATGAACTCGGGCGGTGGAGCTTGCAGTGAGCCGAGATTGCACCACTGCACTCCAGCCTGGGCAACAGAGTGAGACTCTGTATCAAAAAAAAAAAAAAAAATCTCTATGTCACCAAGACTCTAACTTTAAAAACCTGGGTGGTATCACCAATCTGGGTGAGAATGCAGAAAACTCCAGTTTCTACAGGGAAGGTGACAAGTTTCATAAAAGTTATATATGGAATTGCTCTTTCCAGTTATGTCATCTGGAGTTCATAAAAGAAGCCAGGAATAGTGTTAGAAATATGGGAGGATATTTCAGACGCATGCAACACTTAGGATGAAAGATTTCAATGCATAAAAGCAAGGGGTACAAAACAGGAATGCCAACACATCTTTTCTCAAGTTCAAGAGGGTTTAATCTTATAGCTAAGATTCAGTGGCAAATTTGTGTGGGAGAGAGGGTGAAGATTTGTCAGAAATATTCCTTTCGGCCTTCAACATTATGCTTCCAATTCCTTACTAACACTCTATTGCTGCCACTACAAGGATTGCTACAGGTCATTCTGGAGCTGATGAAGAGCAGGCCAGTTTCCTAAAAGGTTGTTTAATCCACACTTGAATAATAGCAGGTTCACATGACAGCCACTCCTACTTATTTGGTAACCCAGAGAAGCACTGAAATACTCTCTTTGAACAATTATTTATACTATTTTTGAATAGTATATTCTTTGAATAATTATGTAAATTTTATCATGTGGAAAGTTTAATGTATTTCTTAATTTACAGCTTTATATCTCTTCATTTATAGACAGTTTTGTAATATATTTTATAATTTCTACACTTTGTATTTGCTTTTCTTTAAGACAAGGTCTCACTCTATCACCTAGGCTGGAGTGCAGTGGTGCAATCATATGTATCATTTGCTTTTTATTTAGTTATGAACCTGGTTCACATAAAATGGAAATATTTTGCATTTTTATTTATTAATAAATCAGTGTTTCTTCTTTTCGTCTCCAAAATATTTAATCCATTTATAATCATTTAATATTTATATACTTTTCAATATAAAAAATATAAAAAATAACTTGTTTAGGAAATAATTGGGATAAAAATAATTATCATGCACATTGTGTGGTAAAGCAATTTACATCTTCTGGTCTCGAAATGTTTTCTTGGTTAATAATATTAAAGTTTCCTGAGTTGTCTCTCTATGATTTTCCTCAAATTTTACCTTCCAATTATAACTGAACAAATTAAGATGGCAAAAGCCTCAAATGCTCGAAGCTATCTAAGCAATTATCTTTACTTTGTTTTTCCCTCAGTATATAGACCCTGAGAAACTGAAAACATGAATACAGGTACACACGTGAATTAGAAGAGATAAACCTTTGAGAATCCATGCCAAGGAGAACAGCATCCAAAATTTGGTATTAATGGGAAATGTGCCCAGTATGTGAGATTTTAGCAATCACTATCACCAAAATCTCCAAAAATAAACAAGGAAGCTACATTCAGAGAGTGAATTCATTCCTCATAAATATTTTCAGGATTCTTAAAGCAAGGGTTCCCCATGAAGAACTGACCAGATCAGAACAGAATCCGTTGAGGAGAAATTTCACAGTAGATATTGAAAAACACTAACTCAACTAAAATGATTTGTGAAATGTTCAATTAAAGAGATTAATTTCCAAGAATAGTCAAGATGAATCTGAATTTTTTTGGACTGGGAGAAAAAGAATTCTGCCTGATACTGAAAGCCCTAAGAAACAGTTTCCTCATTGCTACCTTCATGTCCTTATTTCTAAATGTGTAGATGACAGGATTCATAAAAGGAGTAATAAGGGTATCAAAGATAGCTAAAAATTTATCTATAGGTAAGGTAGGAAATGGCCACACATAGACAATAATGCAAGGACCAAAGAAGAAAACCACAACAGTGATGTGAGCTGTGAGAGTGGACAGGGCCTTGGATGAACCTCCTGAAGAGTGTTTACGAACTGTGACCAGAATAAAGATGTAGGACACAATCAAGATGAAGAAAGTGCCCATGGAGATGAAACCACTGTTGGCAGTGACCAGAAACTCCAGTCTGTATGTGTCTATACACGCGAGTTTGATAAACCGAGGAAAATCACAATAAAAACTATCCATTTTGTTGGGGCCACAAAAGGGTAAGTTTACAACAAAAGCCAGTTGGGCCACAGAATGGATGAGTCCAATGGTCCAAGCAACAGCCGTAAAAGAAATACATGTTCTTAGGCTCATGATGTTCAGGTAGTGGAGGGGCTTACAGATAGCAATATACCGATCATAGGCCATGACTATGAGCAGCACCATCTCTGTACCACCAACAGTGTGAATAAAGAACATCTGAGTAATGCATCCTTTCAAGGAGATGACTTTATGTTTTCTGAAAAGGTCATAAACCATCTTTGGGGTTGCAATGCTGGAAACACCTGTATCAATGAAGGAGAGATTTGCCAACAGAAAGTACATCGGGGAATGTAAGTGATGGTCTGAGATTATAGCAAGCATAATGAGAATGTTTCCCAGCATACTTGCTACATAAAACACTGTGAAAAACAGAAAAAGGAAAATCTGAATCTCCCAAGAACTCGTGAGTCCCAACAAGAAAATTTCAGACACCACTGAGTGATTTTCTCCATTCATCAACTTCATGTGCAAGGCTGACCTTGAAGTTACCTGAAGAATGAAAGAGGAAGAAAAACATAATTTTTAAGTTGAAATTGACATTCTGGCTATGGAATAATGACACAAATGTCTACTACTCTGCTCAAGATTACAAGGTGATCTTGCCATGTTATACAGTTAGAATTTACATAGTACAAGGTTCATGGAGAGCCAGCCCCAGAATTTTTTCCACACTTAGATACTTAGTATTCTTTAATCATGTAGGCTCAAATTTAGTTTGGGCTTTACTGTATAATCAAGAAGAGAAAATGTAAATAAAGTCATCTACAAACTTAAAGAGAGATAAATCAGATAGTAGAGAGACTTGTTCTTCCTAATTTCTACATGGAAAAAAAATGCTACAGAATGAAAAGTGCAAACATTGGGAAAAGTTATTTATTTTTGTTGTAAAAGTTACTTATTTTGTATATATGTAGCCACCTTACTACACTTTGTAGTTTTTTACTGAAATATCTTGGGTTTTGTAGCTTGACAATCATGTCATCAGCAAAAAGAGATAACTTATTTCATTTTTAAATTTTTGTTGGTTTGATTAAAACTATATTCATTTCATTACCTCCTGATTAAGCTGGAAGTGCTATTATACTTTTCTATTCTGTTAATGGTTACTATCCTTTTTCTAGTGATACAATTCTGCACTCTTATTTTAAAATACATCAACTATTTTCCTCAACAACACGTTCTGTTTCCTTTCTACTTTGCTCAAACACCAATTAAGATGACACCTTCAAAATACTTTTCTCCCCTGTTTACTTTTCTCCTCTTTCCACTTCAATTAAGTCAATTCTTTTTCATTCTTCTGGAATTACTATTGGTTTTACATATTGATTTTCATACCTCCTGTATCTGTCCTTCCTATTTTGTTTTCTTTCATGATTTTCATCTCATTATCTTTATCCTATGTGCTTTAAGATATACATTGCACCTAATCTTCCAGCCTTAAATTTGGATTTCAAAAATAATCATCTGGTCAGGTGTAGTAGTTCATGCCTATAATCCCAGCACTTCGGGAGGCCAAGGCAGGAGGATTGCTTGAGCCCAGGAGTTTGAGACCAGTATGGGCAACATAGTGAGACCCCACCTCTACAAAAAATAAAAAGATTAACCAGGCATGATTGTACATGTCTGTAGTCCCAGCTACTTGGGAGATAAGGTAGGAGGATCACTTGAGTCCAGGAGTGCAAGGCTATCCCAACCTGGGCAACAGACCTAGATGCTGTTTCTAAAAAAAACTAAAAATAATTAAAAAGAAATCATCTAAGCCAAGTACAGTGGCACATGCCTGTAATCTCAGCTAGTATGTAGGCTGAGGCAGGAGAATCACTTGAGCCTAGGAATGCAAGGCTGTAATGTACTATGATCACACCTGTGAATAGCCACTGCACTCTAGCCTGGACAACACATACAGACCTCATCTCAAAAAAAAAAATTTTTTTAAATCATACTGTCTTTAAATTCATCTTCTGAATTGCTCTGCTCCAAAGAATCTTGTCTATGTTGCACTTGAATCTCTTTACATGCTATTATTATGTTTTATTAAAATAAGTATCTGCTTCTACCAGCAGCCCTGTATCAAAGATCAGCCTAATACTACATATATTTAATATATGCTTTATGCATACAAATTATGAGATTTGAGAAGAACATTCAGAAATACATGCCAACTACCTGATTTCAACAACTACTCAATATATCCAGCCTAGTCTGTTATTTTGTACACTCTAATCTCTCCAGAGATGTAAATGCCATCTAAAATACAGCGGTAGGCTCCTTGTTGTGTTGTTGTAATAATTACCTGAGTTTTACAAAAGTGCCTTAAAAATCTTTGAAATAAATAAATACCACCGTATTGGGTTTGAAGTAAACTCTAATTCTCAATGACAATATTCTAACTTATTGCTTGTGATGAAGCAATTAAAGAAAAGTTGGTGAGAATTTGATGTTTTTTAAGGATCCAAACTTAAAATTGAACTCTTCTCAAATATTTTCCATCACAATACAGGCTGACTTTGAAGACAAGTAAAATTTTCTCTACAAGATAACAAAGAATGGCAATTTAAAATAAAAATTCAATCATGTTAATCTTTTCAAATCTCAATTTAGGGTATTAGATAGTTTATTTAAACCCATGTGCTTTCCTCCTTACGTTTAATAATCTGGGCAGACAGGTAATATATTTGTTAAAAATGAATAACTGGTCAAACTCCTGGGTTTAAATATGACTTAACCATTTACCCTCCCATTTTTCCCTAACCTTAGACAACTTATCTATCTCATTGTATCTAAGATACTATCAAATTGAGTAATAATAGTTCTGGCCTCAAAATTTGCTATGGGTAAAGAGCTTAGAGCAGTTTTTGACACAGCAAGAACTCAACACTGTTAGCCGTAATGACATTATTACAAACATCCTGAGTGGCACTAAATTTGTCTGGTAGTTCACTTAACTCTCAAACTTCTCCTTTTGTCATTCGCTAGTTTTTCATCATTCCTTCACTACATAAATAAGAGCGTTATTTAAGATCTTGCCTCGTTCTCCTCCTGTAATGGGCTTTCTGTTTGGTCTTATTATACCCTCCCACTAAAACTTGACCACTATGTGAAAGGCAATATATATGGAAAGATCTAGTAGTATTGCTAGCATATAACTTCTAGTTGAATCTGAGTAAGTATATCATTCATCCCCTAATTCTTTCCTAAACAATACAGTCGTATTTCCCTCAGCCTATTAAGCACTATTACCTAGATATTTACATATTACATGCACATATAAATTTTACATGACTATAACAAAACCCATAATTACCTCTCTAATCCCCAATGCAGTTTTCCTCAAGATCTACTATATTATCACAAGCATCTCGTCTGTCCTGCTCCTCTCAAATCTCTCATTTGTTTTCAGTGACCATTACTGAAATTCCATAATTCAGGACAACTGACTTCTCAATTTCTCCTGAATATGGCCATGAGATTACTTCTCCTAAGTATCCCTTTGATTATATAACTAGCACTGCCAAAAACCGTTCAGTGGGTTTCATTACCTCTGAAAATACAAATTCCTAATCTAGAATCTACTGCTGTAATTTGGCTTTATACCATATTGCTAGTATAATCTCTCTTTATGCTCCTACTTTTCAGAAATATTTATTCCTCCTAATACTATCTGCTCCACTGCCAATCGATGACCCCCTTGCCTCCACGTTTCTAAAACTGGTCTCATGAGAATCACCAAATACCTTAGAGTAACTAAATCTTAATCCTCATGATCTCTCTGCAATTCACACTGTTCACCATTTCCTACTGTCTGAGAAATCATGTAGATAGTGAGATATGCAAAACTTTTATCATCTTCCCCTATTAGTAATGTCTATTCCACAGGCTGAATCTAAAGAGGATATCTCTTCAAATAAGAATTCTAACTGGAATCATCATTGCTTAGTGGCCAAAGAGCAGATCATACCTAAATGCACAGTGCACAAAGTAACTTTAAATATATACAAATTACAAATCTCAAAATCTGCTTTGGCATTCTGTTGAGTGTTTCAAAATTGTTTTCTTTACTCCTTTACAAACCCTCAGACATAATCTACTAAGGACGATTATTTAGGATTATTTACTTCTGCTAAATCCTCTGTAGAGATAGAAACTACTACTATTCTCCAGATAGTGACCTTTCATACAAGTGAAATCATGCCCAAAAATCCATCAACTAAACTTACTAGTCAATGACTCAGTCATAGAGTTATTTAACTATTTACCTCTCCTTAATTTTAGGATATCCATAATAAACACTTTTCTGTTATTAATGCCATCTCCTTTCTCAACCCTTTTAAACACATTGGTTGTTCTTCTCTGATTCTCTTCACTATCTACACATCATTTAGCACATTAGCACATTAAGGAATGTGCTAATAAATCTTGGTGATAAAACATTAATAAGGGTCTCTCTAATTACAAATACAATCCAATTATTTCCTGAATCTTGAAGGTCATACTTCTGTCAATTCTGATCTCATATTGGGCTTTAGAAAACAATGTTATATTATAGATGTACTATATCTTCTGGAAATCAAGATATTTTGTGTTAGAATATCATTAGTCCTGATGATTAGTCCTTTCAGTTAAAAACTCATCTGAATTGAGAATGCTCCTATTCTCTCACATAATTACAACTAAGTCAATTTTCTCAAGTTCTGACCTACCATAAATGCTGCTTGTTACTTTTTATCCTTTTCATTAACATTTCCTCCAGGAAACAAATACCAAAATTTATACCATGGATTTGCTTTTTTCCTTACAGTTTATAGCCTTTAAAAATCTTTCATATTTTTTGTTATAAAATAGCCCATGAAGAATGTAGAAAAGGTAATATGATCCACATTTTACAGATTAGAAAATAAGGACTTGAATAGATTATATGGATTGCCTGATTTTGCACACCTAAGTATCCAATTCAAACTCAATTTTGCAATTGCTTTTTTAAAATGTAAATGATTAAAAAAGAGTATCTGAAGGAAATGTCAAAATTTTAACAGTTGCCATTTTTCTATGGAGGGACTATGGGTGTTTTTTCCTCTTCTTCCTACCTTATTTTATAAATTTTCTGCGGTACACATGCATTTCTCTTTAAAGAAAAACATTAAAGAGCAAATCGACTTCAGATTCCAAGCATTCTTCACTATGCTACTCTGTAAGTCACCGACAATCTAAAGTCAAAGATTATTTTCAGGGGCAGATAGTTTTCAGGAGTATCTTTTACTATCTGAGTACTCAACAGAATTTCAATGAAGGCAAAGTGGGTCTTGAGTGTCTCTTGCCTTATCTGCAAATCCTCTACCATCTCTTGCCATACCATCATCTACTCCTACTCTGGTATCTACCACTTTCATATTTCCCTTTGGCTGTCCAGTAACTTCCACTACATCTTTCTCTCACAGATCTAGTCTCTTCTAAGTTCT